GTGTCATTCCATAAAGCACACATGTTATGAAACCTAAAAAAAAAGTTACTGAGAACTGGTGATAGCAGGGATCCCATGGCACACCATCTCTTTGGGAATACATGGTGTTGTTAAAACCGAACTCAACAATGAGTTGCTAAGTTCACTGAATGCTAATTCACACAAGTGGTGGCAAGTCTAGATCACATAATATAGTGCCGCAGCACATACGTCTATGGCTTTCTTGAACGACCTTTTGGTGGACCGGATACCAAATGAAATCACAGACACTACATTGCTATCAATATACATGTCTTGAATGATCTTTGTAAGGGTGAAGGTCTCTTTCACCACTTAATAAGGAAATCTTGTTCAAAACTTTGTTGCAATTTGCCCAACCATGTCGCCAGTATACATTGTGCACGACCAGTCATAAAGATACTTTTAAAGTGGTAAAATGCTTTGACACAAAATGAGTTCTTCCTTCACCAGTGCTCGTGTTTTGAAAAATGTCCTGGGTGAATGAGGCAGCAAGTATTAATACAGTCTATTTTTAATTAAACCCTACAAATTCTAGTTTATTTTGAGCATAGGATTTTCTGGTGAAGGTAAACAGAATCTCCGAGTTTCTGCCCTCTGCCGGTCATCTTCCAAACTTTGTGTTTCATCTGCCCGTATCCCAATATCGCAACTGTTGTGACACTGACGAATTTGCCAGGAAACCCGACTGCATCCAACACAAGATAAAGTGCTGTAAGCAAAATCTACAAAACAACCGTCCATCTCAAAGAAATCAGTTCTTCTGATGAGGGATTCTACAAGGGGCAGAACCTTTAAACTAGAGCAGGGGAATTCCACGGCTGCCATCAGACAGCAATCCTTCAGAAAAAGGGCAATGACAAACAGTAATTCTCTCCCTAAAAAGCTAGAGGTCAATTGACAATTTAAAAAGCTATGAATGTTAAATTTTGTTTAGGTAGCGGGAAATTAAGGGCAACTGAACCAAGGTAGATAAATTGGGATTAACGTAGAGATCAGCTAAAAAGCGAAGACCCCATAGTCCCAGAAACTGCTCTCTCTCTTCATGAATTATCTCTTTTTCTGTCTGGTGGTTTAATCAGAGGGTCACTAAACCTCAGGTGAGGAACAAGGTAGAGAAGGAGAACCTTCATGGTAATCTTAGCTGGTGTGGGAACTATTAGCATCACTATTACAAACTAGTTAAGTGACACACCATCATACAATCACAGCACAAAAGGAGACCATTCAGCTAAGGTCTAATTGAATGGCAGAATAGACTAGAGTTGAATGGCCTTGTGCTATCTCTACAGAGGAAAGATGCCTTACTAGCAATCATCCAGGTAAATTCCTCAATAGCCCAATGATTGTGGTTTATGAAAGTTACTGTAAATTGAAAAAAAAAACTGTAGTCATGGTTTAAGGGCATGACGGCTGATTTTCTCCCATTCTGTTCCATTGGGGGATGACAACAACAATGACCATTCTTGCCTAAACACAACTCTAGTGCACCACACAGTGGTCACCATTAAGGTGGCAGAAGCAAAAGCAAAATGCAAAGGCAGATGGAGTTGATACAAGAGTTGCACAAAAATTATGGATAATAGTTCTTTTATTTGAAATCATTACAAAACAGCTCAAATCAGTATAAAACAAATTATGGAACAAACATCACAAACTATCTCGCTGTACAACAGCAATAAAACTTGCAATAGCTAGCACTGAATCAGTTTGGTCAGTTCAAGCAACACATTTGATTAATTCAATTAATAATAGCAGGTTCACATTATTCATTGCATAGTATTTGGGAGATAAATCCTGGTGTTTCCTCTTTCAAATTGCTCAACTTATCGCCAATATTGTCATTTCATTATTAACAAAAGGACATTAAGAAACTCTCCGTTGACCAACCACCATAATTTGGTTTTGACGTTCTCTCCACTCTCCCTATCCCTGACATATATTCAATCTCAAGCGGATTAATATTTCTCAAAATGAACTGTTTCAAAAAACTATTAATTCACTCCTTAGTTGCAGCGAGAGAAAAAGTGCTGGATGAACGAAGTACATTGTCCATATCAATAAAATATCATCACTTCCATTGTCCAGAATAAAAACTTGTTCAGGAACTGTTTCTTTGCAGTCTCAACATTCCCCAAGGCATGGATGCGGAGCCCGAAATACAGTGGTGCACACCTTAGCGATCACTTGCAAATTAAATCCAAAATGAATAGAAAGTGGTCTCCTCTATTTCCCAGCGTTTATGCAACGCAATATTAGACACCAGACAGGGGTGTGGTTGTCAGTTGAGTCTGTGCCTAGTATTATTGGTGCGGCTGTACAGAATTGGAGTAACTGTAGTGTCATCATGTCATGGACAATTAGCTGCCCTTTAACTAACATCATTCAAAAAAACAAAAAAACCTCCTGATATTTATCTCATTGCTGTTTGCTGGAGCTTGCTGTGAACTAATAGCATGACAGTGACTAGGCTACATTAAAAAAAGTTTAGTGGCTATGAAATGCAAATCACTTTCTTATTGCTTCCAAGGAAGCAGCTAGGGTGAATTTGATTTACATATGGTCAGGCGTTTTGTTTAGCAAGCCACTGACCTAAAGGCTGGAAGCCTCCTAGGGTTGGCTATTCAGAGCAGTTGATTCTAAGTGTTCAAAGATTATTATAATATCCCATTCAATGCATATCAAATTATGGACAGATAGAGAGCAAATACTGCACCAAAGACGAAAGTCTTGGTTATTTAAGTAATGATTTCACAACCCCTGGCTTATAGCTGAACAACATCAACATACATTTCCTTTGCTACTGTCCCCCTCTCGGAATGGGTTTGTTTAGTCCTTTTAAAAAAAGATTTTACTTGTGTTTTGAGTAAGGATTTCTATTGAAATGCTGGTTACCTGCAGAGTCATACAGCACAGAAACAGGCCCCTTCAGTCCATGCCAACCATAATCCCAAACTAAACTAGTCCCACCTGGCCTGCTCCTGGCCCATATCCCTCCAAACCTTTCCTATTCATGTACCTATCCAAATGCCTTCTAAATGTTGTAATTGTACCCTCACCCAGCACTTCCTCAGGAAGTTCATTCTACACACAGACCACCCTCTATTGAAATTTGCCCCTCATGTCTTTTATAAATCTCTCTCCTCTCACCCTAAAACTGTGTCCCCTGGTCTTGAAATCCCCCATCCGAGGGGGAAGACAACTACCACTAACTCTATCTATTCCTCTCAGAAGTTTATAAACTTCTATCAGGTCACCTCTCAACCTCCTACGCTCCTGTGAAAAAAGTCCTTGCCAACGAGCCTTGCTTCACAACTCAAACCTTCCATACCGAGCAACATCCTCGTAAATCTCTTTTGCACCCTCTCCAGCAAACTTTTCAATAAAAGGTTTGGTTTCTGGCTCAGTGAGATATAAATTAAAGCCTGACAGATGGAGGGAAAGGAAGTACTGTGTGGTACAGTAAAATAAAGAGGTAACAAAGAAATGGCACAGTATGAAATATGTCTTTGTTGAGGCCAAGTCATCACTGTTTGAACATCTTCACAGAAATTATACTTCTATTGGTCTTTAGGCACGCTCGAAAAGGATAAGCACAACCTAGCATAAAAGCTTACCAGGTTTTACCTGCTGAGCGAGAGAACTAGCATTGGTGTTTCCTGCTAGCAGCAAAATATTTGCAGTGATCGAATGAGGCCTGTAAATGGCCATTAATCCACCATTTTTGGGCTTCAACTAGCCCTCGGGTGGGACCACTACCCAATGCCTCCCCTGCCATGTGTAAAATATCTAAAGGAATGGGCAGGCAGGCCGGCCACAGACACAATACCAGTGGGCTGATGCTCAATTTTTCACCCTCCACTGCCATGCCACTCCCAGGAGCAAGTGTAAAATTCAGGCCTTGCAACTTAAAATTTATGTAAAATACAAAACACTGGACAGAATCTTGGTTTAGGATCGTGGGATTGATATCTCTTAGTCTAACACTGCTCCGAGATATTAGCCTTGATTATGAAATCAGGTGTTGGGTTGTGACTTCATTTAACTTCTACAGGCAGCAGTGTGACTCCCCGAGTCAGGCTGATATAATAGGGGAGGTACACCTTTCATGGGAAGGTAGATATAGGTGGTTTTGAGTGTATGTGAACTTCCCTACAATCTTTCCCATCTATGTTCTATACAGGCTGCGAGTGTCTGTCACAGCATTTATTTGGAAAAAAAAAGATCAACATTTCCTCTCAACCAAATAAAATACTTCTACTTCTGAACCGTTTGCTGCATGCTGCATTTTTGGCGAATTCTTCTTAAATATTCCCAAAAGTAATGTAACAGATCAGTATTGACCTTCTGGCTAGTCAGTAAATGTATTCATACAGCATTATATCATGAAGCTCATGATAGATTTTCCAGTAGTTTCATGAAATCATCACACTTAGCACCGGAATGGTTTACAAATAACCAGTTTTCATCTTTCTTCCTATACACTAGATCTAACTCACTTTTGCAATGAAATAAAATGCATTAATGCTACAGTCCTTTCATAGTAAATGCAAGTTTATAAACTGCCTACTCTGGGATAATTTAGTTAGTGCACTGAATCTATTCTGCATCAAGAAAAATTTATTCTGAAGTTACACTTTGAAAAATTCTTCACAGCCAAATAGGAGTGAGCAGATAGAGATTAGGTTTCTATTTGCTATTGCCCCATAGAGACTACTGACCACCGACCACCACCCAGAGCACAGCATTCTCCATGATCAATGTCATCCCAAGGTGCACTTCCAGATCAAACAACTAACGATCAATCTCAAAGTTGGACTCAGCTCCTCCGTAAACTGACAGTCTGAGCACAGTGGCCAAAATACAATCAACTGAGCTGAATAAATAGAATAAAAAAGGTCAGTTCTGGAGGATGAACATTTGGGGTCCTTGAAGTTCCACATCTTCTCAGTTCAAAAAGTGAAAGAAATGTAGGCTGGTGGGGGGGGAAAATGCCATCTTTACTTTACAGAGCTAAAAGCAAAAAAAGTTACATTTCCCTTTATTTGCTACAATACAGCTCAAAATACTGTAAGCAGAGTTTTGATTGCCATACAGAGGATCAATCCTACCCATGGACATAAATTGGGGAAAGAGTCTTCAACCTGAAACCTAAACATTTAAGACATAGAACTCAAAATTCTGAAAGAGTATGATCAGCTCTAAGTTTGCTTTTAAACACAGGAGTCAACTTGTCACTGTTTAATGTCACATGATTCCATGGATTGAAACGTTAGAGAGAGTATCCATCTCCTTCAAAAGGAAAATTCTTGTAACCCAGGGTGATTGAACCTTGCACAAACTGAGGATATGCAGAAACTTCATCAGCATTGTAAAAGCATCTGCTTAGATCCTTGCAACCCATTTTCATGTTTGAAGAAAGTTGACGTTGACAGCATGGTATTACCCGTCACGTTTTTCTAGTGAGCTTAGAGAATTTTAAATTGCAATATTACAGTATGCATGATTGGGTGGGCTGGTAATGTGAAGCTTTTAGATGCAAATTCAAAGACCTGACTGCCTTGTCCTGCCAACAAACAAAGGAGAAATGGAGGGTAAAAATACCAAGGGCTAGGAGGAATTAAATAATGATTGGATAAGTGGACACGTGGACTAAGGAAAGCTTAACGAAGGCCAGATTAGAAGCATGACAATTTTAATAGCCCCACTAAAGCTCGGTAACAACGCAAGAATGATGTAGCAGAATGGAAGAAAACGTGCTTGTTCTAGGCTTTTGAATTTTGAAAAAAAAAAGACAAAAAAAAAAACAAACTGCTAGACTCGCATCAAGTATTTCTGACAGGTTATCCATTAAAGCAAATACTAATGTTACCCAGTCAAAAGCATGAATATCTGATCTGAGGTAATTAAAAAAAGGACCGAGCTGAGGACAGAGGTAATATTAGCTTCAAAAAAACCAAAAAAAAAAGAGAAAAAAAATGCATCACCAGTTACCTTCAGGGGCATAACTCAATATGAAACTAAATGATACATGCTACAGTGTCTTTGTCTGTGGAGTTAGGAAAGCTCAAATGGTACATTCTGCATTTAGCACAATAAGAAAGTGCACATGGACATTACGTGAAGGGGTGACCAGCAGTCATAAATCCACAGCCAGAAACATAACTAGTTACAACTCAAGTTTAACAGCTAAAGAAAGAAAACTGGAGCTGCCAGTGCTGATAGAATTTTGACCAGAAACCACCAGCACCTTTATGGATGGACCGCATCCAGGATATTCAGACTCTAAATTTGATAGGAATTGAAGACTGAAGTGTTGCAAAGAAATCAGGGGAATATTAGAAATTAGGCCAGTCTATCTTGATCTATCAGTCTATCTGCAAACAGTTGGACAGTATCCCCCATAGGGGTCTACGTGCTTTCCTGGTTCCATATCAACCTTTGACTTGGGCATCACTTCATTTCTGAAGTAAAATCAGAAGATGGAGAACAGCCCAACAGTACATTCCCAGACCGGGGACAGATCATGTTTGTACTTCCAAATGCCCACATGATAGGTATGCTACAAGTTACATCTTCAGTGGCGTTTCAATAAACCAAGAATTCTGGAAAGTGGTCCTTGCAATCATTTGCAGTATGGCAGAATGATAGTGTCCATCAGTGCAGGGAATCTATACGATGCACAAATCAAAATAATACCATTTCTTGAACATACATGGTAGACGGTGCAAGATCAAACATTGCTTATGGCAGTGGATGCAAAGGAAGCTGTAGAAGCAGAGAGTCTTTCTCGTCTTGAATATCTTTGCTTTCGCACTGGAAATACAAGAGAAAGAGAGAAGCGAGTGAACTAGACAGCAGAAAAGGAGAAACACGCCAATCAGTTCTTGGTTTAGGAGATTATTAACATGACAAAAAAAAAAAAAAAAAAAAAATCACACAAATATAAAAATTGTCAGCTAAAATATATTCATTCAATCTGGTTATCCGAAAACCGAACATTTAATCTACCACGCATCAAGTTTAATTCAATAAAATTTTAAAAACATACCTGGGCATTTGGTTACTATATTGGCATGGTTTGGCACCAGACTGCTTACTAGCTTCACTATTTTATACCCCACTTTATTCCATGCTTCTAGCAATCCTAGACTCTGCCACCCAATATCCAAAATCCAGCACCCCAGGGATTGAGTATTTGTACTGGTTGCTTTGTACAATCAAGGCAATATCATAAGATTGAATGAAGATCAAGTAGCAAAGGTTAGGTTTGCTCAAATCTCAAAACAAATATCTCACTCTCATTCATAAAACAACTTGCATTCTGTGCTTCACATCACAGTACTTTTCACAGGAGTGTAATCAGACAAAAATAATGAAGAAGGCTAAAGGACAGGCGAGAGAAAGCTTGGACAAAGATAGGTTTTAAGCAGAGTCTCAAAAAGGAAGAAGCAGTAAAGAGGTCTAGTTTGGAATTTCCAAAAAGTTAAGATGGGACAGCACGGTGGCTCACAGTACTAGGGATCCAGGTTTGACTCCAGCCTTGGGCGATTGTCTGTGTCGAGTTTGCATGTTCTCCCTGTACCTGCGTGACTTTCCTCCAGGTGCTCCAGTTTTCGCCCATAGTCCAAAGATACGCAGGTTAGGCAGATTGCTAAATTGCCCATAGCGTCTAGGGTGGGAAATGCGCGATTGTGGGTGGGAAATGCTCTTCAGAGGGTCGGTGTGGACTTGATGGACCGAGTGGCCTGCTTCTACATTGTAGGGATTCTATTTTACGATTCAGACCTAGATGGCAGATTGTTCATCCTTCACTCTATCATTGGCGATGCAAAGAGGTTAATATTAGGAGGTATGTACTGGGTCTTTGTGATTACTGATGTAGGGAAGAAAGAAACCATGGCAGCATTTGAACATGATTGTAAGAATTTTGAAATCAAGCTGCTGTTAGACTAGCTGCCAAAGGTGGCAATCAAGTTCTTCTAAGGGTCCGAGCATGCACAGCAACCTAGAATATTCCGTGCAGGTTGCAAAAAAGTAGCCTCCTAACATATCACATTTACAGCAGTGCAAAAAATGTAGTGCATGTTAAAAAGAAATTGCTGGGATACTGATAATACATGAAAAAGATTTAAGGTAAGTCAGTATACAAGCAGAGTCTTATTTGAGCTCAAACTTGGAGGGTGGAATAAAAAGAAGCTGAGGCATAAGAGTATTGAAAAGTTAGATGAAACAGGCAGTGAGTGTGCCTTTGCCAGTGTACATTACTGTTAGGAGAGGATTTTTTACACCACTGAAGGAACAGTGATCGTGTTTGCAATAGGGGCTACTATTTAGTCTTTCCCTCAAGCAGATAATCATAACATAGAAATGCAGGTTCCACATTATATGCTTCTTTAGATCTTCCCCATATCTTGGGAAAAGTAATGCAGCATCCTCTGCAGGACAAAGGGGGGAAAATTCAGAATACAGGCAGCCACACTGTATTGTGTTGCAGACCCACAACCGCTGGAATCAGTTCAGCAATAGCTGAGCCTGTCAGATTCTTGCAGCTCCATCTGAAAACAGCATTCCATATTACAACCAGAAGCAAAAATTCTTAAGCTTAGGAGAATCAAGGTACTTCATATGCTGGAAAGCAGCATCATGTCCATTGCAATTTCTGCTCAAATTCATACTTCAAGCTCAAATAATTGACTTCTGGTCTGTTAAACACTCGTTAAGAATTATAAATGCCTGTTAGACCTTCTAAACATGCTCATAAATCTTGATAGGACAATAAAAATACCAACATCGTTAGGAGTAACAGCTGGAGTACTTAGGCGAATGTAATCTCCTGGTCACTATCAATTAAAATTCCTTGTCCTTTGTAGCAGACTTTCCGCCACAGCCTAATAGCCACTCAATTCAAGGGTAACTGGGAAAAGGACAACAAGTGCTGACTTTGCTAACGATGCCCACTTCTCAAAAAAAGTACACACAGTAGGAAGGCAAGTGGAATGTTATCATATAAATTTGGTCTCCTTATTTAAAGGAAGAGATGTAACTGTGTTAGAAACAGTTTAAAGAAGGTTCAGAAAAAGGTTTGATCAACTGATACTTGGATGAGAGATTACCTCAAAATACCTATATTCATTGGAGTATAGAAGGAGAGGTGAGCTTATTGAAACATATACTGGATGGGTACTGAAAGGTCTCCCCTTTTGGGAGAGACTGGAACTCGAGGACATATGTTATCATCTAGAAGGGTCAGGCAGGGATACCTGGCACCAAATGGAACAAAGGAACAGGTGGAAGTTACAAATTAAGTTACAGATAATGGCATAAGAATAAAAAAGGTGGTTATAAGAGGAACAAATAATCAAATCTGTTGGTGTTTTGTATTGTGCAAGTTGAAATAAAACTCTGGCTTGAAAAGTATATGCCTAAACTTTGTCTAACCAACCTTTTAACCGCTAATGAAAACAACAAATGCTGGAGATCACAGCAGGTCAGACAGCATCCATGGAGAGAAATGTTTTTAACAGCAGTAGCAAAGAATGGCCAGCTGTTTGTACATCAAACATTGAAAGCCAAGTATTATTCTCAAAAGAATGATTTGGAGAAACTTCAGAAAGATGGTTAAATGAAAACCTAACATACAAGGGTATGGTTACCCATCTGTTTTCTGAATGCAAATCTTATGACTAATAAAGGAATGAAGTAACCACGATTGCTTGTGTTATTTCTTCACAGAAGTGGAATCAAGCCTTGCAACCACACAAATGCAGGATGAGAAGCAATTTTTTTTCCTCAGAAGAATTGGAAATTGATGACATGAACAAATTATCTTTCAATGTTTAAATGAAATCAAAAGATTTGCTCACTTGTTAAGCATAGTCAGATTTTGACAAATTCAGAAAGACTGAAGCTAGTCTTTCAGGGGTATGCCATTAGGCCCTTTAAGTAATTATACAGCACCAAAGTACTGGGTTTAGACCGCCTTGATAGCAGTTATAATTTGCAGACAATCACAATGCTGAAAAATGTCAAAAGATCAAAATAAAACTCTTGCAAAGCAATGGTGTCAAAATTACCTCAGTAATTTGCCCATCCTTCTGCCAAAAAGTTAACAACGTTAGTAAAAAGAATACAGGAATAGCCGATGAAGAATTCAGTAGGTTTATAGAAGAGACAGCATGACATTTGTAAGAAATGCCAAAAGGACACCCTCATGGAATATAACAAATCTGTCCTTAGCAAGAAATTTCAGTGAGGTATTGGCTAGGAATTTAAAAAGGTCTGGAATAAGGAAAGTTATATTCAATTTGTCGATTTGTCAACCAGATTTAGTTACCTGATGATAATATGTAGCAAAGACAAGAAGATTATTGTGGATAAAGTCATAGTAAAATGAATAGGGACGGTTTTGCTCCCCTTGCAAAATTTTTCACTGGGAATGGTGGGTCATTTGTTAAGTATAAGATTAGTGATGTGTGTGCAAATATGAATAGAATAGATATGAATTTGGCAACAGAAAGCCCTTTTAGTAATGGGGTTTGTGGAAGGAACCATGCAATAATATACAAAATGGTTTATAATTTACACTTTGGTTGCCAACATTTTATCAGCGATACTAATGTAGACAGTCCATGCCACAAGTTCACCATAAATAGTCAGAAGATATGGTTGTGATCAGCAGAAATCCTAAAGTTTTGTCAATAATAAGTGATCAGCTCCTGGCATGGAAAAAGACTACAATGAACGCTCATCGAGCATCAGAATGCACCTCATGCAGGCAAAAAAATAGCTTTCATTAAAGTTGAAGTCACAGAAAGCATTCAGCGAGCCTTAAAACACAAGCCCAATGGAAACCAATTTCAATCATGGAGGAACTGCTAGAAATACTCCCAAAAGATATACACACATATACTAAAAAGAACTAAAAAATGGGGAATCTGTTATTTATTAGGAAGAGAACTCCTTTGTCTGTCCAGTCGTCTCTCTCTCTTTGGGCTCTATTCTATCGTTTACTCCCTACCCCACATACGTATTTTCTGCAATTAAACTGACATTTTCCCAGCCACCATCAGTTCTGAGGAAGGGTCACTGGACCCAAAACGTTAACTGTCTCCTCCTTCACAGATGCCGCCAGACCTGCTGAGCTTTTCCAGCAACTTCTGTTTTTGTTATTTACTAGGGTCTGACAGGGATGCTCAAGACAAAATAGAAATAGGGAACAAGAGATGGTTATAACTTGAGATCACTGGATGAGAATATTATAAAATACATACATACATAAAGACAGACATATAGATTTGTGGGAAACAAGTTGTAATCAGTGGGTTGGAGTTCTATGATGAGCAAAATGAAATACCTCTGATCAAAAATGCATTTGCCCAGAGTCTGTCTAACCAAGCTTTAATTGCTTGTTTTTAAATTGCTATTAAATACCAAGAGGTCACATATTTAAGACTGAGATGAGGATGAATTCTTTCTTGCAAAGATCAAAAGTCTTTGAAACTTTTCTCCAGAGAGCAATAGAAGTGGGATCTTTGAATATTTTTAAAGGCAGAGGTAGATAGATTCATGGCTAATAAAAAGGATTTCAATGGTTGAGGGTAGGCAGAGTTGTGCAGTTGAGGCCACAAGCAGATCAGCTGTGATCTTATTTAGTGGTAGAGCAGAATAGAAGTTCTGAATGGCCTACTTATGCTCCTAATTTGCATACTGTGTGAACAGACAAGCAGGTTTATTGACTAATGGTGCAATTGTGTGGTTTAAGGATAGTGAAAATTCAGAGTAGACTTCTGCTCTAATTAGAGTCTACAGGCCTTTCCTGCTCCTCGGATGCAGTCTGACCTGCTATGCTTTTCCAGCCTCTCGCCTATAGACTCAGGCTTCCAGCATCTTATTGTCTTCTCTTCTACTCCAACTATACTGGCATAAAACAACATGGAATCACCTGCGCAGAGAAGGCTGACAAGAGTTTATATTTCATAAACTGGGTTTTGCTAGTCAATAATTTGAAGTTTCTTACTTAAACTGTGGAGTAGAGCAGAAATAGAAATGGATGCAAGTAATGTTTAATCAACAAAATTAGCTTCTCTCAAGACTTTTCAATGCAAATAACACCAGGGGTGTTATTAGAATTTCTGCTATGGTTGGCATGTGTAGCAAAACTGTAATCATGCTCTTGTTTAATGCAGTTAGATCAAGACAAATAGCAACCAGAATAATTCTCTATAAATAAGAAGGAAGGGAAGTGGTGACGGTGGCAAAAATTGGAAATATTTTAGAATGATAGATTGAACTTTTCAGGAGTACAGATTATTTATTATGCATTGGAGAAACCCAAATGGATTGCAAAAGCAGCCAATAAATCTCAATTTCTGGTACCCCTTAATATTTACATATATGCCTAAAATAACTTGCCCCCTTCTGTTATGTTGCAGTCTATTACCTGATCTAATGGGGCTCCTCATAATTTCTGCCTGTAAAACAAAAAAAGAGACCTTGGTCATATAATGCCACTGATTAGAATTGTTATTTAATTATCAGAATTTAAACTCATTACCAAATTTAAAAAGGACTGATGATAGCATGAATTAGAGAGAATTTTCCACAGCATTTGCACACAAATTGCCGTGAGCTGTCAAGCAGATCAAATAAAGGCAGCTGACTCGGATTCAATTTCAACCTCCATTATATCCATTTCAATTGACACAAAATCACGATCAGGTAAAATATAGAGTTCTACCGTACTTTTTACAATGCTGTTGTGTATTGTGTTTGCCAAATTATGAAAATTTATGATTTGAAAGGGCAAAAACCAATACAGTATGAACTTTTAAAACAAAACAAACTGCATAAATACAGGACAATGGGGATACAGCAGAGTGGGGTTAATTTGTTGGCTCTATCAAAAGTGCCATCACATACCTGACTACTGTCCTTGGTTATTGTCTGTTTACAGTAATCATCTCAATCTGATTAACCATGTCAGATATATTCCGATCTGGAAGTGCAAAACTATCTGAAGGATGGAGGCTTGTCTCCTGGTCCACAGCACTTTAGTTTCAATATCTACCTATAAACAGTAGTGTTTTTACGGTTGAAGGATTGTTTCATAATTACAAGGAATCCCCAACTCAAATTGGCCAATTAGCCCAAATGAGTGACAGAAGGCATAAATGTCAGGCACCCTATATCAAAAAGGTGGCAGGAAACAAATGTCTAACTGAAAACTTGAAGCAGGACCATTGTGAACATTAGAATTCACTATCTAGAACCTGGATTACTCAAAGTCAATGCCCACGGACCTTTAAAATGAATATAAAGGGGAATGACGACAGGTAACTCAAAGACAACTCAAAATTACAAAATGCTGGACATGAGCAAGTCCTAAAACTAAAACGTGAATCTCCCTATTTAAAAACAAACAAACAAAAAAAGTCACTTCTTTACAGGAATTCTACTTTTATCTGGGGGTGACAACTGTTTCAGTTATCTTGAATGAGATGATTAACTGATGTAAGAACAAAGTGCTGGAGAAAGTCAGCAAGTCCGGCTGCATCCCTGGAGAAACAGAAGTGGGCTCCAGGGGAAAGTCATTGGATTCAAAACGTTAACTCTGCTTCTTCCTCCACAGATACCGTCAGATCTGCTGAGCTTTCCCAGCACTTTGATTTTATTTCAAATTTCCGGTATCCAAACAGACTCTGCTTTTAGGTTTAAGCGATTACCTAGTCATTGGTTAATAGTCAAAACTGTGTGGGAGATGCTCAACAATCATGTTGCCAAAACACAACCAGGGAGGAAAAAAAACGCTCTTAAACACAGATGAGGCATTTTCCTTCAAACATATCAAGTAGATCTGCATTTACACAGAGCCTGAAATGTAACACATCCCAGATGGTTTCATATAGGAACTTTGCAGTTTCACTTACCATTTCATTTGGCTGCAGTATAGAAGCTGAAAAAAAAAAGTAAAACCTTAGCCAGTAATAAAGCACACGTCAGACAGGTTGACACTACATTACGTCTGCTCACCAATTCAAGAAGCAACTCCCTGAAAGCTAAGTTTCAGTGACAATGTATTACTGTCCTACCCAGAACCAATTAACACCACAGTCAGGATGTTAAACTAGGATCCTTCTGGTCTGTAGCATTTAGCTGCTCATTGAATGAGCCGAGTGATGTACTGGGGCTTACTGCCAGGGGGCACACTTACCGTACATGCGGTTGAAATAGCTGTGAACATACTTCATTCTACTAGGATCTTTTTAACAACTATTGTAAGAGATACCAGAACAAATGAATCACAGCAATTGCAACCTGCTATATACACTGCCCAAAAAGGATAGCGGAAGCAGGTTCTTTATTAACTTTCAAAAAAAACTGAATTAGATCAAATACTTGAAGGGAAAAGAATCAATCGAGAGTTATGGAGAGAAAGAATGAGGGAATGATATTAATTGGATAGCTCTACTAAAGTGGCAGCACAGGTATGATGGCCAAGTGGTCTACTATGTTGCATGATACCTTAACAGCTATTTACCCCACTGATTTTTCTCAGCAACTGAAGATTCACCTACTGTTAAGCTGTTGGATACAGTGTTCTAAATGTTCATTTAAGAAAGAAACTGTAGAATTCACCTTTCCTTAGGGGTGCAAATGGTCACTGTTGAAATCACTTCCAAATTGTGGAAAGTGGTGATGCAAACCTCACCATTCATTATTAACAGCATTAAATCAGTCACAAGTTAGCAAATTGGATGACTACAATGATTCCATTTTGTAGAACATTTGCCCCTTCTGGAAGCTGCATACTTTTTAAACTAGAGAGTGCAGTATGGAACATTTGAACAATTCTGGTAAGGACTGGAGAGAGAAAAAAAAAACTGAATGAGGGCACGAAAGATGGGATGGGAATAATTGAACAACACTGCTTAAACGATGGTGCCACACCCATCTCTAGATCCATTACATAATTGGTCGCAACACAAGTCAGATTTTAAAATGGCACAGACATCTTAGTTTTAGCAGTTTCAAAAGGACTGTTATTAAATTGTACAGCTTTTAAAGGACAAGCAGTCACTGTGTCACTCACATCAACTTCTAACCTTTGCCAAGTATGTAACAAACTTTTGTCAGTGACAGTTGCCAAGATGTTCAAAGAAAATAATTTAAATTGTTTATTTATTTTTCCAAGCCAACGTGTCCCAACAGTTTACTTTTCACATTAACTTTAATTTCTATATTGATGTCTTAAAGTCTTAGGTGTGTTACAAATTGTACATTTTCTACAACTTGCTCTAGACTACTATTCAGTCAGTCAATAACTTGGTATGCTCATGGGGCATTATACTGGCTATCTGGTAAACATTTGCATTGTTTTACCCTCTTTCTCCACAAAAATTAGTTTACCACATTTATGTGAAACAGCATCCGAGTGCACACAACATGGTTTTCACAATTTCTCCTCTTCGTTAATAAACAATTCCCAAAATTTAACTTGATAGAAAATGATAGCTTGCCTTAACAAATTGTGGAATATTGTTGTTTCAGTTTTTGACAAATTGCTGACAGACAATTAGATTATCTGTTGCTTTATAGACAATGGATGCTCAGAAATTCTATGAGCAAGTTCTTCCTATTATCATCAAAATTTGTCAACACTAAGCATGGCTTGGATTAACAAGTTTTAATCTTGGTAATGGATTTGACCCAAAGGAGCATCATTAGCATAGAGTTAATTGGACCAATGTGCTCATCATGTGAAACAAGAAATTTTTTTAATCAAACTGTTCTTATTTATAACTTATGAAAGTAATATTATTTCAGCACTTGGATTTAAATGCTCCCAAAATATTTGCTTGCCCAACAGTTTCAGTCTATTAACAGTTCCCATGCCAGCTTTTAAGCAGCAAATTTGTGACATCATTAGGACCAGGAATGTTACAGATTCAGAAAGATAACTGTCAGTAGTTAGTTGCATAGTGAGGAAAGGATACCTAGGAGAAGAAATGAATTAAAAAAAAGTCACAGTTTAATCGCAAACAATGCACACATCTATCAACAGCCATAAGTGAAACAATACAATGTTAGGTTTTTACCTTTGTTTTGCTGGTAAAACAAATGTGGGAGTTTGTTGGATCGCTTGAGGTAGAAAAATGCAGCAACAGAAAGAATGAAGAATGAACTGATAAATAGTGTTCCAAGGCATAATGAGGCAGCTATTCCTGGCCCTCCTTTACCAAAAAAAAAAGATAAAAATCATTTATTGATGATATAGGGTAAATGATGTTACTTAAAAACTGTGGCTAGAAGTTTCATGGCATCTCTGTGCTTTTCTATTTGTTTTCTTACCAATTTTAAGGATGGTTGGGCCCACTGTGGTGCCATTTGCTACCTTCTCTTCACTGCCGAAATATGCTATAACAGGAAAACTAAATGGGCATGAAATTCATACAATACTAATGATATCCAAATAATGAACTCAAAAGACATCTTTTACCTAGGAAGTTACAGTAATAATAAAGGTTAAAATGCTGCAATAATTGAATTATTTCTACATCCAATTTAAAAATGCAATCCAAAATTATTATAATCTAGCATTTAAAAGGGGTGTTAGATAAGCAGAGGATGCAGAAAGCAATTGAAGGATCTGATGATCAAGTTAGATGAAGCGGGGCATGAGGATGCACATCTCCAGTACAGACATCAGTATAAGTGAGTTGGGCTGAATGATCTGCCTTTCTATCCTACAGAATCTGTGTGATCTATTCAAGTTGATGGAGTACACATCTCTACATCATATCACAAGATTATTTTCAACCTATTCTGATGGAGCAGATTGAATTCCAACATTCTCCCTGGAAACTTTGGGATAACAAGATTAGTGAAAAACATTGAAGGCTTGAAATGTCATGATTTTGATAGTTAACCACACAGTTTCTAGTAGGAAGTTACTTAATGAGGAAACTTTACTGATCTTCTCCCACAATAGGTTTGGGAACGTTTGGAGTTCTCACTTGTATTTCTGACTTCCACCAAATGTTAATTGGTCCCAGAATCTTTCATTTGGATTAAACGTAACTCAGCACTTTCACATTACATGGCCCATAATATATTTTACACAGCTACTACCTGTTTAGTTCACGGGTGTACAATTAAATCATAATGAATGTAAACTTTTAATGCTTTTAAAATCACTTACATTGAATCTGGCTGGCTACTACAGCAGAGAAAAAGAAGAAAATTGGCAAGAGTAGTCACTGAAGTCAGAAACAAACTCCAATTTTTGTTTTCTGTTTGCAGGAGTTGGTCTGCTACTCCTCAGAATAGCAACTGAAACCCACTTGAGCGCGAGAGAGCGCGCAGTCTGGTCTTGTTACTTTTTTCCTTAAGAGCTACATATTAGTTTTCTTGGTTACCAGCATAACTTGTAAAACTTGCCCAAATCAGTCCAAGTAGTGGAGACTGGAAAAATCAATTTTGACTTCTGATCAGAAACATAGTTCTTACCCACTGTAGAAATGGCATTTTTAGTTTAAGTTTCAATGCATCTGTCTTTAGGAGACATCAGGTTGGGTGCAAGTTTGGAAGGGACTTTAATGGATAACTCCCACTAGCAGTGGCTAGTGTTCAAGCAAAATTATCAATGACCTGACAGTTTAGTCACGTTGTATGATGATATATTGTTTTTTTCCCCTTCGTCTGACGATATATTGTTAGGTTACTCACAGATGATGCATTCAGTCCGATTATTCAAGGAATCAATTAATGTTTCATTAGTGCACCTGATGCAGGTGGTACTTCCATTCTTAAACCAGTGTCTGTAACACCCTAAAAATGGAAAATGGGTGAATAAGAGACAAATGCTATTCAAAACTCCTGTAATTATTTTCAGCTAACTTGGAGTTCTTAAAAAGAAGCTCAACTAAACTGATGTAGTAACAGATTGGATTGCTCTCTTCCCATCTGCCCTGCACTCCCAACCTACATGACCATGGACTGAAAGCTGTGGTCTCCAGACCCCTGCAAGTTATGACACCAAAGCATTTAATCTATAGCCCAAAGACTTAGCAAATTCTTGAGGGAAGCAAATATTCACTTGACCCATAGCTGATGGGAAATATAGACAGAGGACGTTATTCTGGGAAGGATCTACCAATTTTTTTTTAAAAAATTGGCTAGAACTCCATTCTTTCACCAAAAAGGTCAGAATTAGCTAGGCAATTCTCTTTTGCATGTATAGAATTTACATGTGCAGCATGAATCCATTTAGGCAGACTCAACTTGCTGCTTAGCATGTGATTAATCCAAACGACTACTGATGTTGAAAATAAAATCTGAATCATCTCATTGTTTGAATTAAAGCAAACAACAAAATGGAAATTTAATTTTGTTATCAGTGTTACTAACAATAGTCGATAAAAGTGCACCATTTAAACATGAAATCTGTATTCTCACTCAAGCACAAGAATGCATGTTGACAGAAGTGGAAAATGCTCAAGGATGGTAGTGATTCATGAGAGTGATGCTCTTCGAAGTTAATGTCTTATCTACGAATGTTTTACACAAAGTGCTCAAAGTTGAGTGCTCCATTCTCCCACAGAGACGTTCGGGAAGTCAAGCACACATGGAATAAAAGTAGAGATATCTTTATTTGGTTGGCTGATATTACCGGTGGCGCAATGTTAAAAATGTACCTGAATGACAAGAACTGCGTTGTGGACAGAGGCCAGACTCATCTGAGAGATCTGCACAACATTCAGAGAGCGTATTTAATGGAATCTAGAAAAGAAAACCAAAAGCATCAGAAGTGACAGCAAGGACAAAGACCTGGATTTCCAAAGAGCTTTCCATATGCTCAGGTCATTCCAACATGCTTCAGAGCTAATTAAGTCCTTTTAAATTACTGCAATAATGTAGGAAAGGCAGCAGTCAATTTGCATATAGCAAGTTCCACAAAGACTAATGAAATAAGCGACCAGATCATTTTTTTATCCATAATGTATTTCAAGGATGAATATTGGCCAGGCTAAGGTACGTCTTCAGGCATTCCTACTATTTCAGGATGTAAGCTATTCTGAATACATGGCTGCTTTATTAAAGGTTCTAAATTCAGAATCCATTAGCAACCACTGATGAACATGCACTGTAGCAAATTAATCAGCAAAGTAAGTTACTATAGTACATATTAACCATAACCTTGAGCCAATTACTGCCAAATTTCTGCGGGCTGACAGCTGAGTGAATTTTCAGTAACTTTAAAAAAAGTGTATGGCAGCAAAATGTGAAATGGTGATTACAAATCAGCCACCCATTTCATACTCCACAAAAGAAGATGGAGTTGTAAAATGGTCAGCGAATTCACTGTCACAGGTTTTGTGAAATTGCTCAAAATGAGTTTAAAAGCCCTTCAGCTATCTCTGCCACCTCAATTGCGTCCCCTGTCCTCAATGACATCCAGCAAATTTGGGAGATGTATTTTACATAAGCCAGGCTGTTTTAGTCAGGTGACAATTCATGCCTATTTATTTATCTGGGGCTTCCTGTTCCTTACACCACAGTACCCAGGGCCATAAAAGAAGTTATCCTAGCAGCTTCCTTCCTTGAAGCCTTTCCAAATCATCAGCTGTCTTTCTTTGATGTTCTATACACGTCGTTTCTTGTCCAAGCAATGTTTGTTAAATTGTTCTTGATTCTCTGCATATTGGATACACCTAGTATTCTTTCTAAGCAACGTATCTATGTTATTAGTATCTCTTGCTTGTCAACTTCTCCTGTTACAATAGATCAATATAGTAATAACAGGTAAAACCATCAGTTCCACCTTCTACCCACATCCAAAAATCTACTATGTATAATTGAACTTGCACCAAATTTGATTCACTAGTACTTGGTGCTCACTGATCTCTTTGCCCAAATACACCTCCATTTAAAAATCAAGTCTGTCCATGGCCCTTTTTATAGTTTGTAACCTCCAAAGTTCTACGACTAAGATATCTGCAATTACTAATTCAGATTTCTTGAGCAGTCCCAGTCTTAACTGCTGCATTAATGGTGACCATGCCTTAACTACTTTGGCCCAAAGCTCTGAAGTTCTTTTCCTAAACCCGACTCTCCCCTCAAAATGCTCCTTACAACCTGGTCCTCAACAAGCTTTTGCACCACT